ATTCGGAAAATAGATAACCTTTTAACACATTTTAATGCAATAAAAATTTTTGATCGGAGTCCCCCTTGAATTATTTTTTCTTTCACTTGGCTAGACATAGACATATTCTATAGTTCCGGTCACATTTTTTTTTCTCTCGAAAATTCTGTCAAATCTCTCTTCTGAAGATCGCTGAAAATGTCTCAACAACTGAGTGATTATTTTAGAAATGTATACCCGACTTTGTGCCGAAATTCTTCGGGAAACTTTTCGAAATTTCTGGAATCCAAAGAAAATTATATTTACACCTGCCGAGTAATTAACCTCATTAATCTCCCTCTTCAGCTATTTACATTTTACTGTATTCTCAAAAAAACGCCAAAAGCTATGGATCCTGTGAAACCGAGTCTTCTGAACTTAAACTTTTCGTATACATTTTGTGGAATTTTCTATCCATTTCTTTCGACACCATATTTTTTCTATCCCCATAGATCTGGATTTCGCATTGGACTTTTGAGTGATTTGGGAATTCCAAAAGAATTTCATTATTTCTTTCAATATCTGAACGGTTTTTGTATGTTTTTTTTTAAATGAAAACATTTGAAAAGTTCCAGAAAAAAAAAACCTTAAAATTTCAGTGATGATGATGGCATTTTTGATTCTTTTTGAAAATCGGAGCAGTTTGATTGTCAATAATATTTTTCGAATTAGAAATAATTCAAACAAGAAATTTGTGAATATTTTTCAATTGTATTGGATGTATGGGACCATTTATTCCTATTTATTTTAATTTCCCGAATTCCGATGAAACCAGAATCATCGTGTTGAAGGTAAGCAAACGATTGGAAGGATCAGAAGTTCATATAAAGAGCTTATGTAGACCATCGGTCGGCAGTCGTCTCCGGGCTACTAAAAAACCTGAAATTTCAGGAATTTCTAAATTTCCAAAATCAATCTATTCGTCCAATTTTCAGTCTTTGCCATGTCCGCCAAAATATTTCTTCACTGAAATTATTCTCGTTTTCCCGGACGGTTTTTGGTTTAATTATTTAAGCGCGACGAGTCTATTTTCAAATGGAATCCTTTTTCTATTTCAAATTCTTTTCTTTTCCGTCTGCTGTCTCTACTATCTCTTCTATGCCAAATCATCTCAAGTGTCTTCTGAAACCCGACGTCTTCGGATTCGCTCATTTTTTGGAATTGTTCTTCAAACCACTATTCCATTTTTGTTAGTTCTGATTCCAACAATTTTATTCTTGATTAATACACATCCGGAAAAATTCGATCAAGCGAAAAATAATCTCAAATTTTTACCTATGGTTTTTCATAAAGGAATCGCTAGCTTATGTATTCTTTTGGTCCATTTTCCTTATCGAACATTTTTATTTTCTCTCACTTTCTGTAAAAACAAAAATGTTAATAAGGTTACAAATGTTCCATCTCCAATTTCATAAAGTTTTTTTTTGTGAAAGTTATCTTTGAATTAAATTGTTGCCATCAGAAATTATTAATGAAGATTTGACTTTTCGAATTTTTGGGTTATAGTTTCTGAAATTTGAAAGTATGTGAAAAAAATCCGGAATTTTTAACTCATCTTTTTTGTCATTTATCATTCCCTCCGAACCAGTCATGCGTTTGTTCGACTAGGCATATATACAATTTTTATAGTTCCGATCACAGGATTCTCTCGACAATTCTGCCAGAAAAACTATTCTGAAAACCACTGAAAATCTCAAAAATCTTAACAATTTACTGAATATGTTTCGACGCAGGTGGTGAGCCCTGTGTCGGAGCGAGAGTACAAGGTTAGGGACAATAGTTACAGTACTGGCCAAAAAGGTATTCGCAAATAGTTTTTCGAGCATAACTTTTCTGAAACTTCCCGATCAATCTGATATTTTAAGACAAAGTTTAAAACGGTAAAAGAAACTGATTCAACAACAAGAATAGTCAAAATTTCAAAAAATTGAAAAAAAAATCGAAAAATTCATGAAAATTGCAAAAAACCGGTAAATGGAACTTTGACTTCTGAGATCTAGGATAGACCGGTAAACGAAAAATAATAATAGAAAATGAATAAAATAGCTTTAGTACTTCGTTGGGAAGCCTTTGGCGTCGATTACCGTTTGACATCTTCTTGGCATCGAGTCGAGAAGGGTGTCGATGACAGACATCGGGATGGCCTGCCAGACATCTTGGAGTTGGTCGAACTTCTGGTTGGCATTCGAGGCACGAACCCCTCTAAGCTGTCTCTCGACATGCTCCCAGAGGTGTTCGATCGGATTCAAATCCGGAGATTGACTTGGCCAGTCCAGAAGATCCACGTGGCGGCGTCGGAACCACTCCTTGATGTGCTTCGAGGTGTGCTTCGGGTCGTTATCCTGTAGGAAAACGAACGCCCGGCCCACAGTAGACCGTGCCCAGGGTCTCATTGTGTTCTCCAAGATGTCTTCATACACAAAGCGATCCATGATGCCCGTAATTCTTCTCAGCGGGCCGATTGAAGTCCCAGAGAAGCAGCCCCAGACCATCACCGATCCACCTCCATGCTTGACGGTTTGGAGCTGGTAGCTGGGATCGAACCGACATCCAACCGGACGGCGAATCCACTTGATACCGTCAGTACCGAACAGATTGAACTTGGATTCGTCGCTGAACACGTGATTAGCCCAATCCTGACGTCCCCAGTGGAGATGAGCTCTGGCCCATGCTACGCGGGCGATTCTGTTCTTCCTGCTGATCGATGGTTTCTTAGCTGGCCGTCGTCCATGGAGTCCAGCATCTTGAAGACGTCTTCTGACGGTTCTCAGGGATGGTGTGACTTCATTTGGAGTCTTCACGACCATCTGAATGTCCGTAGAACTCCTCTGGGGATCCTCTCTTGAAGCTCGGACGATGTTCCGATCCATGTTCTTCGACGTGATACGCGGTCTTCCAGGCGATTTTCGCTCCACCAAGGCTCCCTAAACATTTTTTTCCATAACTATACTATTTTTGAATATTACCTCATCCCGAAACTGCTTCAAGATCTTCTCGATGGCACGTTTAGTAACATTGAACTGCTGCGCCAAGAGGTCCTTGGAACATCCACTTCTGAAGCCGATGACGATGGCTTTACGGATGTCCTGAGAGATGTTTTTTTTTCCGAGGGGTCTGGCCATGTCTGTAAACAGTTTTAAATACATAGGAGCCGAAACCAACATTCTTAGAAACCATAATATCCAAAAATATAAAAATATGAAAAAAGTGAAAAAACGAAAATATTGAAAAAATTGAAAAAAAACAAAAAATTTCTGAAAATGATGCAATTTCCTTGTACGCAATTTGTTGTCACCGTGTACGACATGCACAGTAAAATTTTCAGATCGATCCCTTAAGTTTCAGCAAAGTTACTCTCAAAAAACCGTTTGCGAATACCTTTTTGGCCAGTACTGTAATTCAACAACTGGTTTATTACTGGGTTTAGGATTCTGAGTTATGATCTTCGTAGCATCAGAATTCGGAGTTAGCCAGGAGACGATGACCGGGTTTCTATTGATAGGAGCAGAGGGGTGAACCATCCTTGGTCGATGAGGAGGTTGCAGAGGAGATGCTATAAAAGGAAGAAGAATCGCCAGTATGAGGAGACATCTGAGACTTCTGAGTCTTCTATCAAAAAATCTCCAACATTGGACTCACTGATGCCGCATCCCAACTGCTGATTTCAAAGGATCGAAGCCGAAACCCGATGCCACATCTTCTACAGTCACAACCTTCTACATTGTCGGAACGGATGGTTGCTCTCTTCTCTTTACAAGCAAAGGAACCTCTTCTGGTGGCCATCAGAAGTTTCATAAAATGTCTGATCGAAAATTTTATTCAAAAAAATGAATTTTAAAAAAAACTTTATGAAATTGGAGTTGGGACATTTGTAATCTTGTTATCTGTTTGTTTTTTACAAAAAATCAAAGAGAATAAAAATGATCGATATGGAAAATGAACAAGAACAATGCATAAACTAGCGATTCCTTTATGAAAAACCAGCGGTAAAAATGTGAAATTAGTTTTCAATTGATCGAATTTTTCTGGATTTGTATTACTATTTTTTACTAGAATTATTGGAATCAGAACCAACACAATTGGAATAGTGATTTGAAGAATGAATCCGAAAAATGAGCGAATCTGAAGACTTCGAGTTTCAGAAGACACTTGAGATGATTTGGCATAGAAGAGATAGTAGAGACAGCAGACGGAAAAGAAGAGAATTTGAAATAGAAAAATTCCATTTGTATGTAAATTCACGGCACTTAAATAACTATACCAAAAACCGTCTGTCGGGAAAACGAGAATGTTTTCGGTGAAAAAATAAATTGGAGGACACGGCAAGGACTGAAAATTAGAGGATTAGATGGTGGGCCAAAAGTTCTGTAACAAAATAAATACGCCATAACTTTTCGGAACCAGCCCAATCCGGGTCAACTTTTGATAGGACTTTATCAAAGAGATTTTTGACAAAATAGTACTTTAATTGTTTGTTTCTGGTAGCTCTGATTCTGATGGCGAGGGTCAACCTCTTCGGGTAGCGTCTATGGCGGCACGGGGTGGCCTGCCGGCAAATTGTCCCGTTCCGGGGGGTAAAGTTTTTTGAGAGCACCCAAATTTTTGTGAAAACAAACTGGACTATGTGCTCAAACATTTCCTCGCACGGAATCCCTCATCGGATTGTCATCTGACCCTAGACAGGTCATCCTTTTTTTGGGGAACAAGTTGGAACATGTTCTTCCGTATCAGAAAGGTCTACATCTTATTCGGGTAATCTGACACTACGATCTTCTAGGCACCATGACGTAGGCATCATAATTTTCACTAGAAATAGTATTCCTGGCTCGCTTGCTTGCTCTCAAGGATCCGCCAAATACAGGAAAAAATCAAAGTATTATAAGTGTACAGAATGTAGTGCCAACTTTGAAAAAATTGACATATGAACATGAAACTTTGCAAATCTACTAATGAAGAGTAGGGTTTCCATTTGGGCGGGTGAAGAAGCGGGCTACCCGCTACCCACCCGGGGGGCTCCTACCCGCGGCCCCCCCCCCCGCATTTAAATGCGTGTGAATTTTAATAAAATTTTCAAGGATAATGTATTTTCCAAGAAAAACTGAGTTTCTCAAATCAAAAAACTACAAAAAAGATAATATTTTCCTCACGTAAATATTCGCGGGGGGTCAACGGGGGGCCGCGGGGGGTTAGCCCCCCCGGGTGGGTGCGGGCGAGTGAATCGCCCCCCAAATGGAAGCCCTAATGAAGAGACGGGGAAAAATATAAACTAACTTGCGTCAAACTTTTGCTACAGAACTTTTGCCCCGCCCTGTAGGTTGCGAATTCAATAATTCTGCACCTCAATTATCTGCTCATCTTCTCACCTTCAAAACAATAATTCTGGCTTCATCGGAATTCGGAAAATTGAAATAAATGGGAATAAATGGTCCCATACACCCAACACAATTGAAAAATATCCATACCAGCCCTGAGAGGATGGAAAAAATACGATGCCGAAAAGAATGAATAAAAAATCCCACAAAATGTATAAGAACAATTTAAATTCAGGAGACTCGATTTCACAGAATCCATAGCTTTTGGCGTTTTTTTGAGAATACAGAAAAATGTAAAAAGCTGAAAAGGTAGGGCAATCAGTATAATTAGTCGGCAAGTGTAAAGGAAATTTTCTTTGGATTCTAGAAATTTCGAAAAGTTTCCAGAAGAATTTTGGCATAAAATCGGATAAACATTTTTGAAATATTCGTCGAGTTGTTGAGACATTTTCAGCGATCTTCAGTAAAGTGATTTGACAGATTATTCGAGAAAACAATGCGACCGGAACTGTAGAAAACGTGCCTGCCTGACCAAATGAAGGGAAAATAAATAATTAGTTTTTTTTTATTCGAGTGAGTACAAGAAGAAACACATGACTGGTTTTAAATTAGTAATGATTTTTAGGAGAATCAACCCCATCTCTGACTAGGGAAGGCTGTTTGTGGGGTATGGGACTTCGATATGAGACCTATATCATTAGAAAGCTGAAAATGAGACAATTTCAAATATATATTTCGATTTTGCTGCCGACTTACCAGATTCGAGAAAATCGGGTTGGAAATCTCATTTTTGAATAAGCAAAGGGGGGACCCCATGGTGACTTTTTTCAAAAAAATTTTGAATTTTTTAGTGTTGATTAACGAAATGATCAAAAATATTAGGTATTACTTAAAACTTTTAATAAAGTACAATTATTCATTATCAAAAATGTTTTTTTTTTTAAATAGTTGCGGAACATTTTGAAGTTTTAAACAAAGGCCGAAAATAAAAACAAAAACGAACTGAGGACAGAGGGATCGAACTCAACCCTAGTCAGTTACCGTCCTCCCTCTTCACCACTACACCACCAGTCGCTGCTTTCAACTAGTTCTCCAACGCATATAAGAAAGGGGGGAGATCTGCCCCTTAAAATATTCGAATTTCAGCCAAATTTCAAACTCAATTTTCTCGAACCTGGTAAGTCCGCAGCAAAATCTGAATATATATTTGAAAATGTCTCATTCTCAGCTTTCGAATGATATAGGTCTCATATCGAACTCCCATACCCCAGTTACAACCTTCCCTAGTGAGAAATTCGAGTTACTCACACATTTTCATTCGTAATTTATTATTTTATCCAAAACCAGTCATACGTTTCTTTTTGTACTCACTCGAAAAAACTGAATAATTATTTTTCACTTCATCTGGCTAGACATACACAATTTCTATAGTTCCGGTCACAAAAATCTCTCGAATCTTCTGTGTGAAAAAGATATCTCAAAGCCGCCAGGCAATATTTTAAATGTCTCAACAACTGAGCGAATATTTCAAGAATGTTTATCCAATTTTGTGCCAAAATTCTTCTGGAAGCTTCTCGAAATTTCTGGAATCCAAAGAGAATTTTGTGGACACCTGTCGACTAATTACCTTAATCTTCCTACCTCTTCAGCTATTTACATTCTACTGTATTCTCAAAAAAACGCCAAAAGCTATGGATTCTGTGAAATCGAGTCTTTTGAATTTGAATTTTTGGTACACATTTTGTGGAATTTTCTATTCATTCCTTTCGACACCATATTTTTTCTACCCTCACAGCGCTATATTTTTTATTGGAGTTTTAGTTGATTTGGGAATTCCAAACGAATTTATTTATTTTTCTCAGCTTTTTATTAGTTTTTGTAGGTTCTTACCCATATAAACACTTTGAAAGATTCTGCAAAAATCTGAAAATTTCAGTAATCGTGTTGGCATTTTTGATTCTGTTTGAAAATCGAAGCAGTTTAATTGTTAATAATATTTTTCGATTTCAAAATAATTCAACAAGAAATTTGTGGATATTCATGAATATTACTGGATGTATGGTACCATTTATTCCCGTTTATTTTAATTTACCTGATTCTGATGAAGCTAGAGTGAACGTGTTGAAGGTAAGCAGATTCTGAAATTTCGAAATTCTAGACGGTTTGAAAAATCAAAAATCTGAAGTTATAATAGTCTTCCCAGAGTCAATCTAATCGTCCTTTTTTCAGTCTTTGCCATGTCCTCCTAAATATTTCTTCACTGAAAATATTCTCGTTTTCCCGGACGGTTTTTGGTTTAATTATTTGAGCGCGACAATTTTATTTTCAAATGGAACCCTTTTTCTACAAATTCTCTTCTTTTCCGTCTGCTGTCTCTACTATCTCTTCTATGCCAAATCATCTCAAGTGTCTTCTGAAACTCGACGTCTTCAGATTCGCTCGTTTTTTGGAATTGTTCTTCAAACCACTATTCCTTTTTTGTTAGTTCTGATTCCAACAATTTTATTTTCGATTAATACACATCCAGAAATTTTCGATCAATCGAAAAACAATCTTACATTTTTACCATTGGTTTTCCATAAGGGAATCGGTAGTTTATGCATTGTTCTTGTTCATTTTCCATATCGATCATTTTTATTCTCTTTGATTTTTTGTAAAAAACAAACAGATAACAAGATTACAAATGTCCCAACTCCAATTTCATAAAGTTTTTTTTTTTTAATTCATTTTTTTGAATAAAATTTTCGATCAGACATTTTATGAAACTTCTGATGGCCACCAGAAGAGGTTCCTTTGCTTGTAAAGAGAAGAGAGCAACCATCCGTTCCGACAATGTAGAAGGTTGTGACTGTAGAAGATGTGGCATCGGGTTTCGGCTTCGATCCTTTGAAATCAGCAGTTATGATGCGGCATCAGTGAGTCCAATGTTGGAGATTTTTTGATAGAAGACTCAGAAGTCTCAGATGTCTCCTCATACTGGCGATTCTTCTTCCTTTTATAGCATCTCCTCTGCAACCTCCTCATCGACGCCAAGGATGGTTCACCCCTCTGCTCTTATCAATGGAAACCCGGTCATCGTCTCCTGGCTAACTCCGAATGCTGATGCTACGAAGATAATAACTCAGAGTCCTAAACCCAGTAATAAATTCTTTTGGTCCATTTCCCCTATCGAACATTTTTGTTTTCTGTAATTTTTTGTAACTAAAAAACTGCTAATAAGGTTACAAATGTTCCAACACCAAGTTCTATCAGAACATGAAATTCTGTGGAAATAAAGATTTCATAGATAAAATATTTCTTTTTTTTCAGAATAAAGACTTCATTAGGAATTATTAATAAAACTTTGAATTTCTCATATTCGGAACAATTCTCAGAGCTTTCTGAAGTCTCTGAAAGGCAAAAAACTGTAAAACAAAGGATACATCTAGAGTGATTTCTCCGATAAAAATTACAAAAAAATAGGTTTGTTTTCGAAATTCAGAATCATATAATTGCAATATTCAATATTCGGTTTTTTTAAAGGTTTTCCGATTTCTAGAGTTCCTCTTAATTCTGGAATCAAAACTGATTTCAAAACGAAGCAAATCGTATGAAAGAAGTGAAAATAAAAGACTGCAGTTTGGGACAATTTGGGGATTTCCCCAAAAATCCCGTCTCTTGTTCAACCCCTCCCCCGTTTTAACCGAAAAAGAGCCAAAGTCTTGAACTACTCATACAGTGGCGAACGTTAGTGAGTGTCACTTTATACTTTTGTTCATAACTTTGCTCAAACTTGTCCAATGATCGAAAACTTTTTTGTTAAATGTAGCTTAATTTCCAACAAAACGTTGTATAAGTTTTTAAAAAACTCAATCAATTGTTGTGTCTTCTGAATCTTCACAGACGTGTCGATGACTCCAGAAGTAAAAAAAATTCCGTCAAGATTTTTTTGAAGATTGGCTTTGTAATGAATAATGTTTGGTGTAGATCAAATACATACTGAAAAAAAATCGGAGCGGTTTGGAACACTTGCTCTCGAGATGTGCTCACTGGAGCATAAAAGGTATAGTTCAGGAGTTTGGCTGTATCTCGGCTCATATTTTGAGAGAATGTGTGTCATTAATTGCTATACAATATACATACAAAACTTTGTATTTTGGGAAAAATTTTTTTTATGATAACAAATATTTTTTTAATGATGCTTGCCTTCGGTACATAAAATTAAAATATGAATGAAAATTTTTATTCCTATAATACAAAATTTGTATGTATATTGTAGAGCAGTTTAAGACGCATAATCTCTTAAAATTTGAACAATTTTGAATCATTTTGAGCCGAGTTATAGCCAAACTCCTGAACCATACCTTTTATGGTCCAGTGAGCACATCTCGAGAGCAAGTGTTCCAATCCGCTTAAAATTTTTTCTGTAACAAATTTGATTGAGTTTTTAAAAACTTATACAACGTTTTGTTGGAAATTCAGCTACATTTAACAAAATAGTTTTCGATCATTGGACAAGTTTAAGCAAAGTTATGAACAAAAGTATAGAGCGACATTCACTAACGTTCGCCGCTGTATATTTTGTTTCGTTCGTCATTTACGATTTCCTCCACAACTAGTCGTACAATCTTTATTGTACTCGATTGATAAAACTGACTAACTATTTCCCCTCCCTTCATTTGGCTAGACAACACACATTTTCTACAGTTCCGGTCACATTATTTTCTCGAAAATTCTATCAGAAAAACTATTCTGGAAACCGCTGGCTATATTCAAAATGGCTCAAGAATTAAAGGTGGGGGGACATGAAAAAAAAATGTTGTCGAAATTCCGTTCAAATATGCTCCTCGAGGAGTTGAACTTATGAGGGCGATGATTGAGAGTGCGGCGCCGCTACCGACTGAGCCACGCGGGCAAAGAGAAAACGGCCGCCCGATTGCATACATAAAGGCGAGGACGACAGCTGTACGCAGAGTGACATTAAGCGTTGTACACCGTCACGGTAGAATGCATACTCTGGCCCCAAAAATCCCCCGTAAAATCTCCTGTCCCCCCACCTTTAAGCCAGTATTTCAAGAATTTGTATCCAACTTTGTGCCAAAATTCTTCTGGAAGCTTTTCGAAATTTCTAGAATCCAAAGAGAATTTTGTTCACACTTGCCGAGTAATATTCTATTGAAGGTGAGCAGATAGTTTTGATCCAGCATTGATTTACAATTAGAGCCAAAAATTCCCAAATTTAATCTAATACCCTAATTTACAGTCGCTGCCATGTCCTCCAAAAGAATTCTTCACGAAAAATATCCTTGTTTTCCCACCAGACGGTTTCTGGCATATCTATTTAAGGGTCACAAGTGCATTTGCAAATGGAATTTTTCTATTTCAAATTCTCTTCTTTTCTGCCTGCTGCCTCTACTATCTCTTCTATCGCGAAATCATCTCAAGTGTCTTCTAAAACTCGACGTCTTCAGATTCGCTCCTTCTTTGGATTCATTCTTCAAACCACTATTCCAATTGTATTGGTTCTGATTCCAATAATCGACCAATCAAGAAATAATTTCACATTTTTACCGTTGTTATTTCATGAAGGAATCGCTAGTTTATGTATTGTTTTCGTTCATTTTCCCTATCGAACATTTTTGTTTTCTCAGATTTTTTGTAAAACTCAAAATGATAATAAGATTAGAAATGTTCACATTTCCAATTCTATGAAGGCACAAACAAAAGTTTTTTTGTGAAATGCATTTTTGAATTTAAGGGTTTCAAAGTCTTAAAATCCTAAACTCCGAAATTTTGAAAATTGAAATTTCGAATTTCTGACACATCAAAGTTTGAGTCACTTTTTGCTCTTTTGCGTCACTATCTTCTTTTTTGTTTTCAGAGAAAAAAAAACAACGATGAGTAATTTTGATAATGACATATCAAAAAATCACGTACTCAAAAGTTTCTTCTCATTCATTCATTCAGCAAACACATCTGACTAATGTCTGAAATCTCCACCAATCTCTCATCTTATTTCTCTACAGTATACCCCAAGTTATGCACTCCAGATTATCGATTTTTGTCATCAAAAAATGGCCTAATTTTTTATTCGAGAATTATCACCTTATCGTCTCTTCCAATCCTTCTTCTTACCACTTTTTGTATTTTAAAAAGGACTCCAGAAACGATGAAATTTGTGAAATCGAGTCTTTTGAATTTAAATTTTTGGTGTACGGTATCTGCAATTTTATTTTTATTTCGAACTCCATTTTCGTTTTATCCATTTAATGCTGGGTTTACTGTAGGTATTTTCGGGTCATTTATTCCATTGGAAATTCAATTATACACTGGATTTGTAATGACTTTTGGTACAGTTTCTAAATTTCTGAATTTCTGGAATTTCTGAATTTCTGAATTTTTGAAGTTCGAATTTCTGAAGTTCCGAATTTCCGATTTTCCGAATTTCCGATTTTCCGAATTTCCGATTTTCTGAATTTCTGAATTTCCGAATTTCCGATTTTCCGAATTTCCGATTTTCCGAATTTCCGATTTTCTGAATTTCTGAATTTCCGAATTTCTGAATTTCTGAATGTCTGAATATCTGAATTTCTGAATTTCTGAATTTCTGAATTTCTGAATTTCTGAATATCTGAATATCTGAATTTCTGAATTTCTGAATTTCTGAATTTCTGAATTTCTGAATTTCTGAATTTCTGAATTTCTGAATTTCTGAATTTCTGAATTTCTGAATGTCTGAATTTCTGAATTTCTGAATTACTGAATATCTGAATATCTGAATTTCTGAATTTTTGAATTTCTGAATTTCTGAATATCTGAATTTCTGAATTTCTGAATTTCTGAATTTCTGAATTTCTGAATTTCTGACTTTCTGAATTTCTGAATTTCTGAATTTCTGAATATCTGAATTTCTGAATTTCTGAATTTCTGAATTTCTGAATTTCTGAATTTCTGAATTTCTGAATTTCTGAATTTCTGAATTTCTGAATTTCTGAATTTCTGAATTTCTGAATGTCTGAATTTCTGAATTTCTGAATTACTGAATATCTGAATATCTGAATTTCTGAATCTCTGAATTTCTGAATTTCTGAATTTCTGAATTTCTGAATTTCTCAATTTCTGAATTTCTGAATTTCTGAATTTCTGAATTTCTGAATTTCTGAATTTCTGAATTTCTGAATTTCTGAATTTCTGAATGTCTGAATTTCTGAAAGTTTCGTTTCCATTCTTCCGGTTTTTTTGAATTTGCCAGATCAGGAAAAATCGAAAATCGATATTTTGAAGGTGAGAAAACAGGAGTTCAGAAATTCGGAAAGTCAGAAATTCAGAAATTCAGAAATTCAGAAATTCAGAAATTCAGAAATTCAGAAATTCAGAAATTCAGAAATTCAGAAATTCAGAAATTCAGAAATTCAGAAATTCAGAAATTCAGAAATTCAGAAATTCAGAAATTCAGAAATTCAGAAATTCAGATATTCAGAAATTCAGAAATTCAGAAATTCAGAAATTCAGAAATTCGGAAATTCTGAAATTCTGAAATTCTGATATTCTAATCTTTTTTTTAAATTCCGAAATTCCGAAGTTCAGAAATTCTGGAGTTCAGAAATATCGAAGTTTCCAATCTGAAGACATCAAATTTTCAAATCTGGAAGATTTGGAATCTCAGAATTTCAAATATTTAGATTTTCAAAAGTCCAGACTCTCAAAATCTCAATTTTTCCATTCCAGAACCTTCCCTGCCCCTCCATCGAATTCTTCACCGAACCCTTCCTAGTCATGGCCTATTCTCCTTTCTGGAAGTCATATTTCACCTGTTCTCTAGCTACCGTATACCTCAGTCTACTAACTCAAATTCTATTCTTTTCCCTATGTTGTATGTATTATTTATTCCTATTTCAATCCTCAAAAATCTCCCATACCACTCGAAAAATCCAATCTCGATCCTTCATTGGACTTTTGGCTCAAACTTTGATTCCATTTATTTTCGATACAGTACCAATGTTGGTATTTTTGAAACAGGAGCACAAAAATCAATACGATCAGTATAACAATAATCTGATGAGCTTATCAGTGGTGATACATAATGGAGCGGCTAGTCTCAGTATTCTTTTGGTCCATCATCCGTATCGGCAGATTTTGAAGTCATTGTTTTTGTGTGGGAAGAAAACAAAACGAATGGAAAATAATAGAATTTCTGTGAATGTGTCATCAAGAACGATGACGTAGGGAGTATGAATAAAGAAGTTTTTTTTGTTTTCTTCAATTTCAGAATTTCGGAATCTCAAAATTGATAATAATATAATTTTGGTGATTTCTGACCAAAATTTAGTCGTCAAACTGACAAATTTTTTTCAGTTTCTGGCCATTTCCTGTATTCCATTCTCCAAATCTTCGATATTGATAAAACAATACAATAATTCATTAGTAATAAAGGTTTGGGAACAATAATAGGAGTATTGACAGAAAAAGAGAAAAATGAAACAAAATAAAGTCAAGGAGAATATATAATATAAAGACGGTTTGCAACAGCTTCACATTGACGTCGAGCTGAAATCTTTTGAATGTTTCCAAAATTTTTCAATATCTTTTTAACGACCAGTTTTGTATTTTTTAGTTTCGAAATTCGAAGCCAAGTTTTAAATACTTACCAATATGGAATGCATTGAATCAGAATGTCGATAAAAATGAAAATAAGAAATTGAAGAATCTGAAAATTCTCAAACTTTATATTTATTCGAAATCTGCTAACTCACAAGAATATTCCAAATAATCAAAGGTGCAGGGTTTTGGGAGACATGGGCATTTCTAAAAAAAATCAATTACTTTTATAACAAGGTTTTTATAGTCGTGTCTTTTAGTTCTAAAACAAGGAGAAAAAATTACGACCGATTTAAATTCTCCATATTTATGGTCATAATATGATTATATTATCACACTAACAAGGGAACCACAACACCTCGTCAATTCAGATTTTGATGAAAACTTCACGATATGTCAAGGATAGCCTATCTAGACACCCCTTGAATTTTTAGAACACGCTCGCCAGTTTCAACCGAGTTATTTCAGTCCAAAGTTTTACTACCGAATTCAGTTGATTTGCATGCTTCACCACACGTTCATTCTCCAATTTCCCTACGAAATTAGTCTAGAGAACGCCTAACATATCAACGCCTCTTGAACGTAGTGAAAAGCGTGGCACAGGTGATTCGTGATTGACCAATTACAGATGAAGAGAATCACCTGTGTGGTGTCGGGGATGTGTGCTGGCGCCAGTGGGCACGGAGCGTTAGTTCGTTCCCTCTTGTGGTTTTTTATTTTGTTTTCTTTTTCCTGATTTTTCGACGTTATTGGATCCTTTTGGTGCATCTTCCAAGTTTTTATTGATCCTAGAGAGTAGAGACAGAATTTAGAAAAAAATTTTTTAAATAAAATTTCGAAAAATTTTAGAAGTACTCAATCACTGGAATTCAGCAGTTTTGAAGCGTTGTTTTGGGGTCTATACGTACCACGATCGATGAATGGAAAGTATGCAATCAAGAAAAAGATTATATATGAGTTGTATCATTATATTCTCAAACGATTTTCACTACTTTTTCAAAGATATTTTTCCAAAAGAAAAAAGTTTGATAAAATCTCCTACCCGAATGGTGAGAAAAAATATCATTTTTTTCAAACATTTTTTTTCGAAAAACTGTTCGAAATATGGAATTTCATCGCTTTCTAAGCATGACAAAGCAAATTTCATGTTCTGGAACCTACTAGGAGCGGAGAAAATTGACTTTGAAAATTGCCATTTTTGCACTGAAAATGCGATTTTTGGTACTGAAACTGATACTCGGCTAAAAGTGGCGAGCGTGTTCTAAAAATTTCAGGGGTGTCTAGATAGGCTATCCTTGACTTATCCTGAAGTTTTTATCAAAATCTGAATTGACGAGGTGTTGTGGTTCCCTTGTAAATTATCCTCTTACTAATCCTTAATTTTTGACACCTTAACATCTGCCTCGACTGCGAAGATTTTCCGTGTACTAGTATAATATGAAAAATTTGTGGTCTTTTCTCAACTTCAAACATTTTTACTCACCTGTAGAAAAATACTACATTGTAAATAAAAGTAACAGGCGATTAACAATTGGTGGTTGATAAAAACAATTGGATTTTTCTGAAATATTTGTATTGTTGAGAAATGGTTCAATATTCATTATCTCACCAAAAATCAAACGTAGATCCGCATTTTGCAGTATTCCTGAAAATGTTCCCATGTCTGCTTATTCTTGAGATTTTCCAGAACATCAGTTTTATTGAATCCCATACTGGCTTCATTCACTTCTTTGATCCAATTTTTGCCAGCCATTTCAAAGAGAAGATTTTCTTCTTTAAGAGACGAAATGAAAAGAGCCTGTTTGGTCAAGATGTACCATCTCGGATTGAACGGGAAATTAGGTATGTTCAGCATTTTCAGGAAACTTGAACAAGCATCTTTCACGAAGGAAAATTCGTTAAAATTCCAGACACAGCAGTTTTCGAAAAACATGGGTATCACGGATTCTTTAAAGAATGCCTCAGCTTTTGCTTTCCACTCTGGCCTTTTGTGGAAGGCAAATGGTTGATCTCGAAAACCTTTCATTATCTTTTCTTGGTTATTTTCAGGCAGTCCGTGGAACCGTTCGAAAGCTTCGTTTTGCCATTTCTTCAAAAACGATACCTTCCATAAAATTGTTTTTTTCGAAATGATAGTTTTAATCTGTCTCGTTCTCTTTTGAATTCCAATTTTGGTACCATCTTTGCATTTACTCGCACCTGCCACTTTTTCAGCAGCCACCAGTGTCCAATTGCGATGCGTAACGCTGGGAAATTTCGAAACGCTAATTGTTTTGGCATTGACCGTAAGATTTCTTCCTGACCGTAAGATTTCTTCCTGGTCTGCCATGAAAACCATGGAATCCGTGTCAAGGCGTAGATTGTGGTTTCTTCCCAATTTGTCGATTTTTTCTGCTTGAGTATGTAACTGGTCCACATTTTTCCCAATTAGTACAATCATGTCATCCCATACGATTCTTCTCAATATTTTTTCTCCAAATTTCAGTTCTGTGTTTTTATCATTCCCGTTTTCGCCATCAATTATCATTTCGATTACGAACCCCAGAAGCATTGATGATGCTAAATCGCCGAGATAAATTCCAATTGGCTTTTCATCAACCGGCTCATCTTTAAACAGGAGAATCGGATTGCTCAGAAGAGAAGAAAATGCAGTTTTTATTTTTGGATGGATTGGCGATTTTTCCAATCCCTCTAGAACAGAAGATACCTTCACACTCTCCATTGGTTTTTTGAATTTTGCAAATAACAAGTAAACATACGGTTCGCTTGAATATCGTTCCAACAACAATGAAATTGTGAACAAGTTCTTCATGTCTCTTTCCTTTTGATGCATTTCAAAACTTAATTCAGCCAACAGATTTGAGTAGAAATGAACCAATGGGCAAACTCTTTCATCGAACACAATATTTTCGGTTTTTGTTTGAGGGAATACTGTCTGTAGAGGTGATCCGAAGAGAACAGTTTTCCAAGCTTGAGGAACATCACATCCATCAGAATTCAGAATTTGATTGAAGAGCTCCGTAGCCGCTGTGACCATTTCCGCTCCCCCATATTTTATCATGTTCGAAGTGATCTTATCCATTCCGGGTGTTTTGAAATTCTCCAGTTTTTCAAGTTCCCGTTGGACGTCTTCAGGCATAAATTGATGTCTTCTCATTCGAGACTCGACTTGGCTTCTTCCAACAGTGTCCTTTTTTGATGAATTAATGTGATCATTTCTTTTATGAGCATTTCTCAAATAGGCTTCGAAATCATTTTTCGCGAATTGTTCAGTGAAGATCCTCATCGGACTATTCTCTGGTGGAGCAGCAGAAAGGACCCTGTCCACCAACTCAGTATATCTACCTACTGATGCCAACGAGACCAACTCGCCAAGGTCGGCTTTGTATTTATTCCAGAGTGTCTTTGTATTTATTCTAGAGTGTTTTCTACGAGATTCGTATTCCTTGGATATACACCACAAAGAGGCAATCAATCGGTGATCACTTGGGCTCGTTTGAACAAATGTGTCCACATCTTGAACTATATCCGTTCTTGAGCTAAGAAAACCATCCACTTCAGTTTCTGCTCCGTTGGGTTTCGCTTTGTGGGTCCACTTTTGATTTCTAGGCTTTGCAAATCTAGAATTCAAATGCAACAGTTCTGCAGACATGAGAAATTCAACGAAACGTTTTCCGTGATCGTTGGACGATCCGTATACATTCTTACCAACAAATGGCTCGTATAAACCCGATGAAGCTTGGTCCGGAAAAGCATTGAGGTCTCCACAGAGTACTAGAATTCCAGGGAAGTTTTTTTCAGCAATAAAATTCGTGATGTAGCGGAAGAAAGCAAGCGCATCCTCTTGAGATTTATCGTTGGTGTCTGCAGTCACAGCATACAGATTCATGAGAATCACATCAACATCTTTGAATTTGAATTCCAGATATGCCATTCGTGGATGCGGTTGGACAGCATTAACAAGACTAATTTCGGAGTTGCAGATGAGAAAAGCCAAACCACGATCCGACGATTTCCCACTTCTTCCCACACTTGGATAATTTCTCCATTCTTCGCTTTTCTCAAATTTGATTAGAGTAAATCCATCGTTTTCAACATCTTGCTGAAGTATGTAATTGTTTGTTTCTTGGAGCGCAATCACATCGCATTTAGATTCCTTGCAATAATCGATGTATTTTCTTTTCTTCTTTCCTTTTTCTTCTTCTTCTTCTTGCTTCTTTTTCAGTTTTGCTTCTTCTCGCTTTTGCTTCTTTTGCAGCACAGCTTGCTCTTTCTCTTCTTTCTTCTTTCGTTGTTCTTCTTCTCGTTTTTGCTTCTTTTTCAGTTTTGCTGCTTCTTGTTTTTCCTCTTTTTGTAGCTTCGCTTGGTCTCTCTTTCGTTTATTTTCTTGTGTTTGTTGTTGTCTCTTCGTTAGCTTCTTCGTTGTAGTCGTCGCCGTTGACTGATTTGATGTCGTTGGTTCTTCTTGCTTCGGTGGTGTTTGCTGTGGTTCCTCTTTCTCCGTTTCCTCCGGTACAACTGATTCGTCTGCAACCTCCGTTACCACTGATTCGTCTATTTCCTCCGTTGCAGCTGTTTCGTCCGTTCCCTCCGTTTCCTCTTTTTTCGGAAAGCCAACATTCCACGAGCCGATGCGTAGTGCATGTGGAACGATAGCTCCTGAACAGAACGTCTCAATTTCGAAAGTATTCGAGAAAATCATTGTTATATAATTCTTGTTCCATGGTGATAAACCTTTCGGTTGAAAATTTATTTAAAGGACACACTGCCGGTCTTGAAGCGAAAAGAGTTTATGTTTTTACGAATATATTCATGCGCCTTTGATGCAGTACTTCGAATTTATTTTATTTTTTTGCTCATCCGCCTAAGATTTTTGCTTGTTTTTGATAATTTTCTTTTGATTATCATAAATAATCAGTCGAATTTCCCTATGATGTAGGTAAACATCTAAAAATGGATTAAAATGAATTAATTCCGAAGTACTGTAAAAACACATGAATTCATTTGTATAAACCGTAGCTTTTCTCGCTTCGTGACCGATAATGCGCCTTTAAATAAGTTTTCGGACGGAAGGTTCATCGGACGACAATAATAATGACAGAGTACAAAAACACCCCTGGTTTGCAGTAAAAGTTGCTCCGCCCTTCACAACCACCGTGAGAAGATTAAGAAACTCTGCAGTGCGCTTACTCCTTCTTTCACGTTTCAGTGCATTTCAGCGAATTTTATGAGAAAATATAGTGAACACTTCCATTTTTCTAAAACCCCGGGCCTGGTCGGACTTTGAAGATTCTGAGAAAAGCACGGCGCGGCCCGTTGCATGTTTGTTTTTTTCCAACTATTCAACTGCTCCGAAATAAATGCTCTTCCCAAAAATCATTATACTTTTCTCACATCGAAACAGAGTTTCAATGTTTTCAAAGCTTTGAGCAGCATTTTTTTCAAACTTCGGTGGAAATTTACTGAAGTTTGCTTGCTAGCTTCGGCAAAAATATCAATTTTTGTCGCTGAATTTTTTTCAAAAACACTTGTTTTTTTTGTTATCAATTATGGGTTAAAACACTCAAAATTACCACTGCAATTTCGATTTTTAAGCTGGTACTTTTGCAAAAAATTTGAACTACAACAATATGTACAGTTCTATATTCAGCTCAAAATCATTGAAAAATTCTAGACCAAATAAACAAATATTAAGTCATTACATATTTTATTACTCCAATTTCACTATTATCAACTACCGTATTTCCTCTAATTCAAGCTCATGGGCTTCTACTTTTCAATCTCCTTTTTAGGAGATCACCAAAAACTGAAATTGCCAGAAATTTTTTGAAATAGAGAGAAAATGTCTACAATAACCGAATAGACGAACTGAACTGTTCAAACTGCACTAACTGAACTGTCCCTACTTCTGTTATAGGATGCGCTTCTATGTTTTTAAGCACGTCAGAGAGTGGGCTTCTATTGGAGGTGGGCTTCAAATGGAGGTGGGCTTCTATTTGAGGAAATACGGTAACTATAAAATATGTAGTCTAAAATATTAAAAACAAAACTAACCTCCTGAGAGTTTGCCCATTTTTTCAGGACGAATAGAAGCTGTCATTTTCCTTCGAAACAGAACTGAAAATTGTTAATGAGAATCGAGTTCAAAAATTCAGAACTTTTAGAAGGGATAAGTTAGATTTTTTAAAAAAATTTTTAAAATTTAGATGTTCCGTTCAAGTTTTCTAAAACTTGAATTTTTTCCAAAATTTTCTCAGAATCTCCTTTTATTGTTCTGGAAGTTCCGATTTTCGGAATTTCTGAAATTTCAAAAAACCGATAATTAAACATTTTACTTAGGTGGAAATTTCCCTGAACCTCAAAAATTTCTATTTATTTCGCACTATTGATTTCTCGATTTTTCTCATGCTTTTTTGCCACAGTAGTGTTCCAAAAAAAAGTATGAACTACAATAAAATAATTCTAGTTTAATTTTATATTCTTTGAAAACTTCAGACTGAAGAACAATCATTAAAAATGGAACTGTGTGTTGTTGTCAAGGGTCTCTTCAGAAATAGATTTTTTCAAAGCTTTACCATGAAATCTTGAAAATCTGGCTCGAAAATTGAAAAAAAATGCTTGTCAATTTTATGAAATGAGCTGTATTTCCATAATGAAAATTCGATAGATTTTTAAAATGATAGATTTTTATAAAGCTTCAAAAAAATCCGAATAAAAGCGGAATGGCTTGATATACTCCTTACTTTTTTTTTGAAGATTAGCATTGTGATTCATGTGAATGTTTATTTTAGGAAATTCCATGACTCATGGATTGATTTCTATATGGCGCTAGCACATTTGTATAAATAGACGAACGATTTTTTGCTATTCTCTTTTTTCGCAAGGTTTTCGGTAGTACCAGGGTTGAATTCCTGAATTTCTGAACTTCTCAATCATTTATCTTTTTTTCAATCTTGTTCATAATTTTGCAACCATTAGCAAATCAAAAAATAACCTTGAAAAACAGCGAATCTCATTTCAATTTCCAAAAAAAAGATTTTTCTGACCCCATTAATCTTTTTTATCTTATCTAGAACCGGATTTTTGTTCTTCTTTTTTGTCCTAATTGACCTCCAAATCACCTATAAAAATGTAATGTGCCCCTTGAAAACTTCATTTCTATTCTAAAAAACTCTTGGCTGGATGTGTACCGACCTCTTTTTTATTTCTATTTTTTGAATATTACTATTTATTGAATTAATTGTTTCATAATTTTTGAAAAAAAAAATTCTGAAATTCAATTTATTCAAAAAGTTCCTAGTAAGTTGATTTTGAATTTTTTTTTTGAAATTAATTTTTAACTTGATAGAATTTTTAACTTGCCGGAATTTGTAAAGTTTTATAGTGTTTCTATTGTTCCGAGGTACCTCCGGAGCGCCCTTCTATTATAGGAGCCCTTCAAATAGAAGGGGCCCTTCTATTTTTCCGGCCAATTTTTTTCCCGAAATTTAGCATCGAAAAATTCGACGAAGTTCCGTTCAAAATTCTTGAAAATCTGTCAATTTTTTCAAAATTTAGCGAGATTTTCAATGAAGTTTCATTAAATTTCTATTAGATTGTGGAGTTCCCGGAATATTTTCCACTGAAAAAGAACGGAAATTTTCTGATTTCGAAACACATTTTGAGGGAGATCTTTTGGCTCTTTATGACAAGGGGGGCCCATGAGAAAAGGGGGGGCCAATGAAAAAAGGGGGGCCCATGAGAATAGGGGGGGGGGGGGGGCC